ATGTTCTTCCCTGAAATCTTCCTCCCTGTTGTTCTCCATCTCAGTAAATCATCCCACTCTATACCGAGTTGTTTGAGCCAAAAACCTTGGATTCATCTTTGACTCATGTGTTTCACCGAGACTGAAAAAAAAAAAAAAACAGTTTTTCTTTACTATTTACTTTATACATTATATAATATGAATACGTAAGGGCTAAGTTATTTTATTTTAATTTAGCATGAAGCTTATCTATGTGAATAAATATGATAAATCAGCCTTTTGTCTCTAAGTCTGCATCATGACTTATGTGTTAAAGTTTACATTATAAAATCTAATTTTGGTCATGTCTATGTTGAACAAAAATAATATTTCTTTGAAAACAAATTATTCTCTAAAGATGATGTCTCTATCTGTACATGTAAGTGGCATTTACACCATAGAGCAAGATCAGATTGCAAAGATTATTAAAAACAACAAATATACAAACAGAACATTTACTACAGCATTCAAGTGAGTATAAAAAATTGAGATTTTTATTTTTTAACAAATTATTTAAAATCTCCTTAGAAAATAGTTTATGTAAACAGTTAAACAGTTAATGGAAATAGTTAAAATGTAAAGAAAAACTATTTTACTTACATGGTATCTCTAATAAGTAGTGTACTTCCCAATTTGAAACAGGTTTTATCACCTTCACAAAATGCATGTCTCAAAGAAAAGCTTTCTCCTAGGTCAAAACCTGGAAAACGTGACAAATGATTTAATCTAGTAGTTTCATTACATTTAGTAAACTCACAGAGATATTGATTTTTAAATAGGATTTTTTGTTGTCCTTATCTTTAGACTGATTTATTTCAAGCAAAATCCTGCTGTTTGGGATCAGCAAAATTTCTCTACTTCATTTTTCTCCTTTTAGGATAGAAGAAAATAAAGTAGGTTTCAAAGGGCTCAAATATTAATTCTCTTTAGTCTAGGGAATTATCCAAAGTAAATAAACAGAGTAGTTCATTGTAGCAGCTCTAATGGCTAAAGACAGAAAATTAGTTAAGTAAAAAATATTACCACTTTAGAAGACTGTATGCTGATAAGGGGAAATGCTTAGACTTCAAATAGAATATATGTATTATGATTGTGTGCATGCATGTGTATGTGGTGGAAGTGGCGGGGAAGAGAGCAAGAGAAGGAGAATGAATGGAACGAAAGGAAGAAAGAGAAAAAGATAGGAATGATACACCAAAATGGGAATCATGACTATATTTGGGTAGTAAGATTTTCTGTTGCATAAATTCTTTTTTCTTTTTTCCAAATTTCTACGATGTATACAGCTTTTGTAATTTTAAATAACATTTTTTCTCCAAGAGTTTGCGTTGTTGTTAGTGTTCACTTAAACAATACAGAACTGTTTTCAGCATATTTTCAACATTATCCATATACTTTGCTTTTAATTTTTTTATACTGATGTTATCGTTTTAAATTACAATGTCAAGGAATCAACTACAATATATTACATGTTTAGTGATAATTTTACACAAAATTTTCTCTGTAAAGGATTATAACACTTACCTGGAACTTCAAGCTTATCTCTGTTGTCTTGTATAAACTGATGTCCCTCTGTTCTCAGTATAGGACATTGTTTTTCTATTAAAAAAAAAGTATTGAGGATTTGCACTACATTTTCTATCAATTCTTTCAAATAAAATACAATACAATCAAAAACTTTAAAAAATGGAAATAAATTAAACCATTTTATTAAATTTCTGTAAAATGAGGATGAGTTTTAACCTACCCACTAGTGCGTTTGTAAAGATTACATGTACATGTATATGAAGTGCTCAGAACAGTGCCTGGTATGCAGTGTATGCTTGTTAGTGTTAACTATTATCATTATCATTATTATTTTAACATTCTAATTGTTGGTATATATTTGACATTAAGAAATTAGCTAGCTTTAGTATCATTTAATTTTCACGGGCCAAGTATATTCCAATTTTAAAACAAGTGAACTAACTACTATTATATTTTAACATAACTTTAATTCAGATTTTGGTGTCAAATGATATTAGACTAAAGCAGAAAAAGACGACTGTGGACCGATTGTTCCCCTATCTCACCCAAATTCATATGTTGAGGCCTTAATCCACAATGTGATGGTATTTGAAGGTGGGGCCTTGTGAGGTAATTAGTTTTGGATGAGGTCATGTTATAGAGACCTCATGATGGTGCTGATTTCCTTATAAAGGGATAGAGAAACAGAAGACCCTTTTCTTTCTCTGCCACGTGAGAAAACCAGAAAAAGGGCCCTTGCCACAACTTCTCCATGCTAGCACCCTGAACTTGGACTCCCCAGCCTCCTAAAATGTGTGAAATAAATGTTCGATGGTTAAGCCACTCAGCCTATGGTATTCTTGTTAGAGCAGCCTGAACTGACGAAGGTAGTAACATAGATGGAAGTTATTAAAATGAAATTAAAAAGCAAAAATGTAAAGGTCTCTGCTACACAAAAGTGCCTTATAATGAAAAAAAAAAAGAGATAAAGTCATTGAGAAGGTAATATTCAAACCATAATATTCAAAGAAGGTAATATTCAAACAATAATATTCAAAGAAATAAAAGATAAAGTTTGTCTCCACTCACAGTGAATTTACACATTCAATACTACCACAACACACTCATATAATAATGTGCATTCATACACTAATTTTTTTTTATTACCTGGGATATGTTTAAATCTAATTCAGGCTAGATTCTGGGAATGTCATAGTCAATTCAGAAAATTAGACAAAATTGCAGCTCATTTTTAGAATATGCACTGGTAACCGTACAACTGGAGAGACTTTCTTAAACTAAATTAAATAAACGTCTTGGCATTATGCAATCACAATCTTAATTTTCCATGTCTAAAATTCGTGTTTGGGTTTAATGACCTAAAAGTTTTTAATATAGAAGAAAGATAAACTGCTTAAAATCAAATTGATCGCCTGCTCTGTGGAAGGTGGAAACTACTGATTCTCTGGTTTAACTGCTGATCCCCTCAGCCTTTTCTTTAATAAATATATCACAGAGCTCAAGGGTGGTGACAGGGCATCATCTTAATATATCTAACCCCAAAAATAAATCAGATTCTAAAAAGCGCTACCATTTAATCAGATTTAAAAGTTTCTCTACACATAAATGAAAGTATAGCACTGAATAATTTTACAAATTACTTAGCTTCTTGGGAAATTCCTACCTCAGAGATCTTAACATAACTGCAGATCTTAAAAATAGTAAAATTGGACAATCTATAAACTATCAATTTTTAAATCTGAATTCAGTCATTTTTATAAAAACCAAGCATCTTATCAAGATTTCTGCACTGAAAACTAAAGAACATTGTTGAGAGGTATTAAATCCTTAAATAACTGAAGGAATAAATCAGGTATTTAGACTGGAAGACTCAATATTGTTAGGATGTCAATTGTCAATTTATCTCTAGATTCAAGGCAATATCAATTAAAATCCCAATAGGGTGTGTGTGTCTGTGTGTCTGTGAAAACTGACAAGCTGATTCTCAAATTTATATGGAACTATAAAAAAAAAACAACAACTAAAATTGCTAAGGCAAAATTGAAGAACAAGCTAGAAAACTTACACAATCAGATACCAGGAATTTTATAATGTGGGATTTATGGGTACATATATAGATAAACAGATCAATAAAACAGTAGAGTCTAAAAACAGACCCATGAACATATGATCTCCTTATTTACCACTGAAGGACCACTGATATTCAGTGGAAAAAAGATGGTCTTTTCAATCTGTAGTTCTGGGTCAATTAGATTTCCATAAAGAAAAACATTGAACCTCGATCCTTACCTCAGACCACACACAGAAATAAATTAGGAATGATCTTAGACCTAAATTTGAAAGGTAAAACAATAAAGGACTAGAGAAAAATATAAAATCTCCATGAACTTGGAGTAGCAAAGATTTCCTGTAAGGGATACAGAATGCATTAATTATAAAAGATTGATAAGTTGGACTTCATTAAAATTAAAATCTTTATTAATCAAAAGACAACATTAAAGGAGTGAGAAGACAAGACAAGATTAGGAGCCAGACTATTGCAACACATATACCCAATAAAGTATCATAGCCAGAATATACTAAGAACTCTCACAAATCAGTAAGAAAAAGATTAAAAACCCTATTCTGAAAATGTGCAAGACAACTTAAACACTTCACAAAAGAGAATATCCAAATTGTCTACTAGCATATGAGAGGGTGCTTAACATCAGTAATCAGGGAAATGCAAAGTAAAACCACAATGAGATACTACTAAATGAATAAAAACTAAAGAATTGACAACACTAAGTGTTTTTGAGGATATAGAGAAAGGATGACTCTCCTACATTGCTGTGGGAATGGAAATCTGTACAACCACTTTAGAAAACTGTTTGGCAGCGTATACTAAAGCTAAATATACCTGAACTCTATGACCTGGAAATTCAATGACCCAAAAGAAATGAGTGCAAAAAATGAATGTAAATGGCCTTTTTGGAAGAGAACACTCATTGAAGCATTACTCATAATAGTCTAAAACTGGAAACAACGCAAATATCTGTTGGCAAGAGAATAAATGAATAAATTGTGATATATACAATGAAAAACTATGCAGCAATAAAAAACAGAATGAATCACTGACACATGCAACAACCTGGATGATTCTTACAGATATAATTTTAAATGGAAAAAATACCATTTCCAAAAGAACACTTACTACATAATTCCATTTATATGAATTTCAAGAGGTTGTACAACTAATCTATGTCAAGTACTAGTTACTTTAGTGAGCTGTCAACTGGGATCCAATGCAGGGAAACCTAAGATTCTGTAAATGTTCTATATTTTGATCTGAGTGGCAGTTACACAGATGTATAAATATGTATAAAAATTCATTGCACTCTACATGTAAGATTAGTTGACCTTAGTGTGTATAATACCCCAACAAAATAAGGAAAACAACGTGTCTGTAAGAATATACTTTAAGCTAAAAATGATTCTTGCAAAACAAAACGAATAATGAATGACCATACTGATACAAAATTCTTAATCTTTTTAGTAAACCTAGTTAGGTCTTTTCTTTCTGACTTTCTTTGGAGAAAGACTCTCTCCCTCAAATGTAAATAATTTCCTTGAAACTGGTGATTCAGGTCCTCTGGCTATTGATAAGGGTCATTGAAACTCAGCATTCTCCTTGGCCCATTATAAGGCAGGAATGGCTTTAGGCCAAAACAGGGCCCTTAGAATCTGAGAGGGGAGGGGACTTTTAATCCAAGTTTTTTTGTTTTGTTTTGTTTTTCTTTTTTTATTGGCAAAACAAAATTCAAGACAGTGCAAATGGACTTCCTACTACGACACTTCAGTAAGGAGGGGAATGTATGCTGGCTCATTGCCAAGTTGAAATCAGTATATATCTTAAATTCTTCCAGGGACTTAATGAATATATGATATCAAAGTAATTAACCTGTCACTTTGAAATGAATGGATTTCAACATTTCCAGCAATGTATATGAAAATATTTCTCCACATCTTTCAGTTTACGAAAATCAAATATTGTGCCATACATTTGGAATATGTGCTTTATTGTGAAAAGCCAAACAAAACAAATAAAAACTAAATGTTAATTATTTGGGGGTGAGATACAGGACTCAATAATCTGAATGCATAAGTTTTAGGGATCCATTGCATAAGAATGACAAGGCAGCAGAAGTGGCTATCACAAGTTGAATGTTACTTCTTTGAGCATTGACATATGCATTTTAGTATAAAGTAAAGCACACTTGTTGAGTAAATGTGCATTTATCTTGAGGAACCATTGATGAGACCCAAATATCCAAACATCCTGTCAGGAGAATCAATGCAGCAGTGCCATTTCAAAGGTTCTCTGCAATGTTTCAAAAAGTAATTTCTAAAAATTTCGAAAGTAATTTCTAAAATTTCACCACAAAAGATGCATTGCTTAGGAACCTTCAATCAACAGAACTTTTGAAAAGAAAATAAAAACATCTTTAACAAATTCATGCTAAGATGTTGTTAGTGATTGTCAGACCCACTTTCTCCCTAACTTGGCTTGAAGGACTTGGGCAATTTATAGGGTTGGAACAATATTGAAAGTAGGCAAAGGAAATACAAAGGAAGGCAGCTAGGTCAGATTTAAGTAGATTATCTAGATTTTATCTAGATTACTTACAAAAAAATACATACATTTTAAAAGATTTTTACCCTTCTCTCCCTCCAAAAATCAGAATGAATCCCAAGGATCTAAGAACAAATCATTCAAGAGAATTTATGTGACTTTTCCCCCAGATCACATAACCAGCCACTCAATGGCAAAGTTAAAATAAAACACAAATTTCCAATAGTCTATTTTTTTCTCTATTTTGATCATTGCATCTTGAAGCCATATTCTAAAAAAACAACAACAATAGAACACTTAAAAAACTCTCCTCATTCTTTAGTAGAAATGCGTTTTGTTCTCACTCTCAGTTTGAAACATTTTTTTTTTTTTAAATCACTTTTCCCCTTAATCTCTAAATCTTTGTACTGTTCTTACCTGCTGATTTGGCCTTCTATTGTATACAATCTAGTAAGCATTC